CGATCCCCAATGATTGTTTGCCTGTGTTATCTGAGATCATGACCCGCTGCTGGGATGCTGACCCTGATAATAGGCCACCTTTCTCTCAGGTGGTCAGAATGCTTGAGGCAGCAGAGACAGAAATCATGACTACTGTCAGAAAGGCCCGTTTCAGGTGCTGCGTTCAACCTATGACTACAGATTGATTCGCGAAGAGGAAACTAGCAGCAAGATGTTGGATGGCAAAACTGATTTGAGTCCACCATGTGTATCTATCAGGCATAATTTCTTTATTCAGATAGAAAAAGGGAGATAGTTACGATAAGAACTAATTGTTTTTCTGTTGCTCTTGTTTTTCTCTTTAACTTGGATTTAAGATCTTGACTGGTGATAAATGGTAATAGGGGATATTTTGATGTGTATTTATGCATGTCCTTTTATGGTCGTGTTTGCTTAATTTGCTCAAAATATATCAGGTCCTGTATCTTATTTTGTGCCCACTCCCTTATTCTATGCCCACGCCCTTATTTTGTAGGTTACATTCTATTTGTATCTGTGCAGAACATACAGGGAACGGAGGAATACGATTTGCTTCAAGAGCAGTCAGGCACATCTAAGTCTACGGTAAGTGTGCAAAATTTGCAGAATCTGCAGTATTGAAGTATGTATACTTCTTAGAATGGATTGTTTTGATATTGGAAACTTCCACAGCTCTTTTTGCCCCGTTCCCCGCTCCTCCCGAACTTGGGGCAGGGATTTATGTGGTAGGATAGATGACTAGTCTTGAGCATCTTTCCTATAAATAACAAGGGAATATGAAAGGCGATAGTAGTGATTTCGTTGAAGTCGTCCCTCGGACAACTTTATTTGACATATTGACTGGCAGCTCTTTTAATATCCTGGAGTCAAGAGTCTACATTCCTGTGCTTATTGAGAGTTTGCTAGCACTCCATTGAGATCATGTAGGCTTAGGGTCATATTTGACTGCTGAGTCTAAACTAACAAAATTGTAAGTCTTTCCTTGTTGAAGCTTTTATTTCTCAGTCGTTCATTTGAAAAAAAAAGGTTTCCATTTGAAAAAGAGAAACTTCTTATTTTGTTGGAAGACATCCCTTTGTGTTCTTTCTTTTAGTATTTTTTTTTTTTTGGCAAAGCATTTTAGTTTGATTTATGAAAATAGGACTGTTTTTCAATGCAGCCGTTTGTCTTAATTTTGAAAATCTAGTCAAAACTCTTACTACTAGTGTTCGAAGTATCATTTTGGTTTTCAATAATTTACCTAATGGGCCAAATTATTATTGAAAATCAATAGAATCGGAATAAAATGCGGAACTTAATTTAGAACACTCATTCTAGAAAGGAATTTATATTCCTATGCCATATAGTAAAATATATTACCCTCCATGTTCAAGATTTGATATAATTACATTTAGTATACCTAATTACCAATTATATACCAATGTGTATTAACCGTTCATAATTATGGTACCTTATATCTCTCCTAAATTAATGGTACCGTATATTCCTCCAAATTTCCCCACGTTTCTCTCTCCCAAACCCACACTCACCATGTATCACACGTTTCTTTCACATTATTTCCTCTGCTAAAACCAGAGAAACGTATGTAACTCCCACCATTAACGTCCAATTTCAAGTTTTTTCTTCTATAACCAGTCAAAATTGAAGTCTATTCTTCAAAGTTCATACACACATTTACCTTCAGCTTCAAATTTTCTCAATGAAGAGAACAAACCTTCAAAGCACAGCCCTAAAAAAGCTAGAGAAGCTGATATACCTTCTTTCGATTTGGGTGTATTATCACCGCATTCACCTAAAAAGCATGGGAAATCTGCACATGCAATTGTAGATAAGAAGCAAAGTCTTTCTCCGCGTGAAATCAGGGCTGAAAATAGAACTAAACAAAAACATGATTTCGATGCTGGAGAATCTTCGAGGGAGATTAAACAAGCGAAAAGGAAAGGAAAGGAGATAGTGTTCGATGATGATTTTGTAGAAGATGTGCCTATCAGTAAACCTGGAAAGAAAGCGAAGGTGTCTCCCAGTTCAAAAACTCCCAAAAAGAAGAAAAATTCAAAAAAAGCCCCTAGGGTTAAATCTCCTAAAAATGTTCGAAAACAGTCATTGGTGAAGGTAAGATTTTAGTAATTTCTTCACTAGTTATTTCGATTGTTTTAGTTGTTAAAAATCTACATAATCTGTGTTTTTTCTGCTCTGTAGATTATGTATCTTCAGTTTGAAGATTAATTGTAGCTTTATTGATCTATTTAAAATTGTTGATATTCTGTACATTTTTTGTAGTTATTTTTTAGATAAATTGCAAATGTATCTATATTTTGTAAGCACTGTATTAATGTGAGATTATTTATATTTTGTGCAGAATGGACATTTTTTTGCATCCCATAATGTTGATTATGGGGTGCTTAGATTTCAGACATTATGTGATCCTAGCATTCCTAGCCAAATTAAAGAGCTCTTATCTCCAAATGGTTTGAAGCTATTCGAGAAGACATGCTTTGGTTATTTACTGTCATTTCCCAATTTATGCATGCAAAATCAAGCTATTCATCTTCTTATGAAGTATGAATTGATTTCATCCGATGCTTCCTATTTTTCAGCTGAGTTAAAGGTGAGAGGTTAAATTTTGGATTGAGAGAGTTTGCATTAATAACTGGTCTTAGATGTCATACCGAGGTGACAGACTTTGGTTACACTACGAATTATGTCAGTTAGATAATGAGCAGTTACTTTCCAAACAAGGTAAAAGTGGAGAAGACATACCTAAAACAGATTGTAACCAACAAAAGTTGGGTAAATGATGATGATGCAGTAAAGTTATGTATTCTATATCTCATAGAATTCTTCATTTGTCCTTCAGAGAAAGACCATATTGGGTTGGTAGATCATTTTAGGTTTTATTTGGTGGATTCCGGTCAGTACGAGACATTTCCATGGGGTATTCAGGCTTACAGACTATTGATTGAATCAGTTAGGCACAGGCTAAATCCTTTCGTTCATTCTTATCTCATTCGAAGATTCCCACTAGCTATGCAAGTATGGTTGTATGAGTGTTGCTCCTTCGTCAACACTGATATAGCTACAAGGATTTCTAATTCAATCCCTCGCATACTTAACTGGTCAGCTAGTAAGGGTCAGATTTGGTTAGCTGCAATTGAAGACAGAATGATCAAGCTTGAATGGATGAAGGTAAATGATTTTTATTTATGATTATACATTTACCTACACAATATCTACAATTTGTCTACATATTCTGCCTTAATCAAGCTAATTTATTTTTTTTCTCATCCAGTTCACCAACATAAATGAATCACCTGAAGAGCTTTCGGTGATTTCTTTGCCTGATAAAGTTGAGTACAAAATTGAAAAGGTCTTGAGGAGGTAACATTTATTCCTAAACAACATTGTGATGTATACATAATAGTGCATATGTTCTTTAATGTATGTTAAGACATATTCTGAAGTTAACTATGTATTTTTTTAATATGTAGGTCGATGAAAAGATTGCAGATTTTAGGAAAGATGTCTTTGAAGAACTAGGTAGCCTTCGAGTGCTAATAAATGAGTCAGTCAACACTGTTTTGCAGGTGTTAAACAATCAAAATGATCAAGTTGATGCAAAGGTAACATTTGAATTTTATTCATATTAACAAAACTATTTATGTCACCTCTAAAATATATATACTAACTAATATAAAACTTGCAGTTTGCTGGGAGTTCAACCAAAAATACTGACCAACCAAAAGACAATAGCAATCAGCAATTTTAGTTCACTAGTGGAGAACCAGTGCAGGCCAGCACCAGCAAAACAGGTATCTACAAAATAACTCCACTATATCTACAATTATCTACAGAATATGTACAAATATCTACAAGTTTTCTACAAAATATCTACAATTTGTCTACATTATATATACAAAATATATACAAATAAATACACCATATTGGCACAGCTCTACAGATTTAACATTTTTAATGAAAAACAGAACATGTTGAAGGTGCACTTGGTGAAGAAAATCATCCAGCACGTGTTGATTTATATACACATTTTGAAGGTGCAGTTGATGAAGAGAATGCAGGTATGAAATTGCATTCATAGATATTTGCTTTATGGTTCAATGTATGCAGGTATGAAATTGCATACATTGTGTTTCAGAGAGGGAAGATATGGATGCACAATATCCAATTCACGGAGTGACAGTAGCAGCTCAAACAGAACAACAAAATGAGGAAGATGACAATGTAGGTGAAGAGGCAGATTATGTGAATGTACGTGATTCAGAAGACTCCGGAGGTGAGAAGAAGGAGGTTACACTTGATGATTTCGAGCTGCCTGAAAACTTCTCCCAGTTGGTTAAGTTCGGCGAGCCTATACAAGATGAAACAACACTCGTGCATCAAGGTAGAACAAGGCAGCCGGGAAAGCATGCCCGATCACCATTTCTCCCTTTATACAGTTCTGGTGGCAGCACCTCGGTTGGACCTCAAATTTTTCACCTCAAGCACCCATTTACTAGTGTTATTGGTCAAGATGTAGATCCTGAGTTGTTGGATCAATTCAACAAGTGGTTATACCACGGTACCGACACAGGTTCAAAGAGGTTAGTTTGCACAATTGGACACTTTTATTCCAGTATTCATCTTTTACATATCCACTTCATTCAACAATTTTATTTTAATTTCTATTTGTTTATATAGGAGGAAGGCTCCGTACTCTATAAAGGACAACCAAATTAAGCCATGGTTAGATCTTGGAGTGGAAAAGGTTGACTAGAAGGAGTGGTTCTTTTCCCTGGCACACCCTGGACAAGTGCTCAATGACTCGGTAAGATTCAATGTATTCGATTTGTAGATATTATGTAGGTACTTTGTATTCTGATTGCAGATGCTTTGTTATCTGTTTGTACTGTAATTGTAGTTTTGTGTAGATTACTTGAAGATAACTTGTATTATAAAAGCAATCTGTTTTTGTTGCAGCACATTAATGTTATAATGTATTACTTGAGGAAAAGAGGCAAGTATGGCCCCCACAATAAGACCAGGTTTACTACAACAGATTGTTTGTTCAAGACTAGGATTGAACAAATTTATGAAAAGTTCCAAAATTCTCCTCCAGAAAAGAAGTTTTCTGTTGTCAAACCCCAGGACGTTGTAGCAAAATATATATTGGGGTATAGACTACTCGCAAATGTTGCATGGGATCAAGTTGATTATGTCATCATGCCCGTCAACATTGTAGAAAAATTTCACTGGTTGTTGGTTGTTTTTGACATTGCAGACATGCAACTTTATGTGTATGATTCCATGGTCTCTTCACGCAATCATCCTATTGTTGAATCTTGTGTCGACAAGTTTTCTGTTATTATCCCTTTGTATTTGTCATGCACCGATTTTTATGGGAAGCGTAAAGACATCAACTTCAAGAATACAAAGGCATACATTGAGAAAGCTGTTACCGACCCTCTTAACATTCAGTGGATCGTCGGAGAGATACCACAGCAAAAAGAAGGATCACTGTAACAAAAATCTTCTTTCTTTCTATACATTTAACCCTTTTTTTCTAATTGTTTGGTAAATATTGTCATTTTTTATCTTTGCAGCGATTGTGGTGTATTTGTTGCTGCCTTTGCAGAGTATGTTAGTCTTGGAGACTTATCAATTCCCGAGGAAGACCTTTCTGATATTGACCAACATCGTAGACGCTATGGAGCGCTACTTTGGGACTATGCTAGAAAGAAGCAAAAACATGGGGTAATTAGTGATAGTGAGATGACGGGCAAATTGGCAAGGAGAAAAGGTGCAGCAGCTTTGAATGAGAAAACACGAGTCCAGAGGAAGAAGAAGTAGTTGTAATGTTTTGTATGGAACATGTAGTACAATTGTTTAGTTGATGCTAGTTGAGAAGAAAGATGGTAGACAAGTTTTTGAACAATATTGTTGTGTTTTAATTGTAGCAGACTTGCGCTACAATTATAGTAGCCTTTGTTTTTTTTTTTCTTATCCAGTATAGTAGTTCAAATGGAAACATTCTGTTTGTTTTATATTCACTTGTTCAATTTTTACAGTACTTGATCTTCATTATTTTAGCATGTAAATCCTTTCCAACTGAATTTTTATACAGTTATTCTGTCAACGCAATAAATATGTAGTTATTTTGTTTTTTCTGTAGATAAGTGTAAAAATCTGTAACTAAATATTTTGTTGCTTTTTACATTCAAATTGTTGAATGTAAACAGTACCTGATCTATATTATTTTTAGCATATAACTTCTTTCTAGCTGAATTATAATCTAGTTATTATGTCAGCTCCAGTTATTGTAGTTTTTTTGTATGTGAATTTGTAGACAATTTGTAGAAAGTCATTAACTGATTGTAAAGGATGCTAGAGATAGTAAAAAAGAGGTAGATTATATATATAGAAACCATTCATAAACGAATCACTCTATGAAAGTATTATCTCGATATAGAAAAATCCTGACTAACTACATTATGATCTTAAAAAACCTCAACAATTACACATCAAATTTTGAGGTCCTGAACTCACCAACAATTTTTATGAAATATTCTGTTAACTACATAAAAGTTTTATTTCTTTCTGGGTTCATTCTTGCAAGATCTTTTGTTATGCCCTTCTCCTCCGCAGTTGCCACATGAAACCTTGTACTTCTTTGAATTTATTTCATTATATGATTTGTATCTTTCTTTTTGAGGTCTTCCTGGCTGGCTGTAGGTGGATTTACTACTTCTTCAGATATATGTTGTGGTACATTCCAATTGCTTTCATCAGGCAGGGGATTTACTGGTATTTCATAAGTACGCAATAGGTTCTTACTTGTGTAATAAGGAGAACAATATTGTTCAAAAGACTCATCCCTGTGTCTTAAAGCAGCCAAAGCATGTGGACAAGGAAGTTCATCAAGCTGGAATTGCCCACAACTACATCTCTTGTTTTCAAGACAAACAATATAGCGCCTCACACCATATAGTACTGTATGGATGTAGTCTGTTGAAGCCCTCACCTACAATTTCATCACAGACAAAAAAGCAATTCATATACGGTTAAATACAAAATATCTACAAATTATCTACATTGTCCTGTATAAATTAATTTAATTCAGTAAATGATCAGATCTTACTCTAAGCTTGTGCGACAATGTTCTGTTGTCATCCAACTCTTTGTTGAATTTAAACCCAAGGTATGTGAATGTACCCTTTGCTTTCAATAACTTTTCCTTCGTCCAACGTTCAAGAAGAGTCCTCATATACTCTAATAGTTCTACTATCGGCAGCTCTCTTGCATATTTTGTTACAGCATTCAGCGACTCTGCAATGTTTGATGTCATAGTCCAAGTTCTGTTCACCATAGCATGTACTCGAGACCATCTATGGTAGCCAATATCGTATAAGTATGCTTTAACACGCGGGTCAATCTCATCAATCTTTGACATCCTTTCATTAAATTCATCAAGCGTGTATGATCGTGCCGTGGCAAAGTACAATTCGCTTAACTTTAGATGACCCTTCTTGAACTTTGCCCTTATATTTGTCCAAATATGCCACATGCAAGAATAATGTGGCATGTCGGGATAAACAATAGATGTTGCCTTCAAGATACTCTCATTCCGATCCGAAACAACACACATATTTGGTCGTTCACCATATGCATGTTTGAATTGCTCAAAAACCACTTCCATGATGCTCATGATGCATCATTTTCTGAATCAACAACAGCATATGCCAATGGTAATATGGTACCTACATTATGTGGCAAATGGCAATTAATTGGCTGTAGGAAAAATGCAGAGGAAGACATGTACATACAAACTACAACTTTTCAACAATTTATCTATAATATATCTACAAATACTTCAAAAAACAGACAAACTATAATATTTCTACAATAAAACTACAATACCTGCTGCATCCATTGTACTAGCTGTTAGCATTATTTCCCTGTATGCTGACTTTAAGAAGGTCCAATCAACTACTACAACTGACCTACAATATTCCCAACCACTGATTGACGTACAAATCACAATAAATACATACAAGAAGCAGTCATCGTCCGTCTTCTTCAATTTAACTACAGACCCTGGATAAGTCTTCTCCAGAATATACAAATAACTGGGCAATTTGCTGTAGGAGTCAGCAGGATGACCTCTCAAAAACTCCAAAGCCTTTTCCTTTGCTCTCCAAGCTTGCATGTATGTTAAGTTCACGCCGTGTTCAGACAACATATCAGTTTGTATGTCTTTTGATGTGTAAATTGTCTTAGGATCAGCATATTTTGGAATAACCATGCTACCAACTACCATGGCAGTAGGTTTGCGTTGGATGAATGTACTGTCCATCAAAGAGCATGTGTGCAAGTTGTTGAATGTTCTAACCTTGAACATTGCAGAATCATTTATGCTAGTTGCCTTGAAGTGCCATGTACAATTTTCACCAACACATACCAACCAGTAGCTACAAAATAAAACCAATTTAAACACTGGTATAAAAAATGTAGATCACACACACAAAAAAAAATAGTTTTAGCATAAAAGATTATATACAATAAGTTATATACAAAGCAACTACAAACTATCCACAATGTTGTTAAACAATATCACCCAAAAAAACTGATGAAGTAAAAATTTACAAAGTGCAATGTTCATACCTTCTAGCACTAGATCTTTTAACCCTGAATTGGAACTTGTGCATGACAGAATAGTGCTTCATTGCAGTTGCAACTGTTTGCTTGTCTTGGTATACTTGTCGTACTTCAATAATACTTGGTATACTATCTGTTATTATTATACTTTCATATTTCTCTATAACGGGAGATGTTGGCATATCAAGTAACTTTAGTGTTCCAGACGAAACTGCATGAAAATAAAGTTAAATTTTGTTATGAACAGTTTGTAGAAATTTTGTAGATAATTTGTAGAAACATTGAAATTCTGTATTTCATATTAATTTTTCAGATAATATGTAGTTTTATTGTAGAATAAATGTAGAAATTTTGTAGATATGGTGAAAATCCATACTGATATATATATTTACTTTGACATGTAGTTTATTTGTAGATCAAATGTAGATAAAGTGTAGGATATTAATATACAACCAGAATTTGATAGAAAATATAACAGCACAAACCTACAACTGTGTTCTCATTGGTGATACTCAATTCCATTTTGAAATCGCGAACAGTTATACATTGCGGATATGATCCTAAGTTTTTGTTTTCCTTTTTCGTCTCCATGTATACATGAACACCCATATCGTTCCTAATTTTCATTGGAGGACAATGCTCGTTGATAATGTATATGATTTCTATAATTTTTTCGGATGTATCGATCATTAATTGTTGTGCTATTGTAAAAATCAATAGACTATAACTCGCATCCTCATCGACTACAATGCCATCGACCTCAAATTCTCTAAATCTCCCATAACTATCCCAAGTCCCATCCAGGTGTAGCATAATTGGTATTTTGGACATAATTGCGTTTGTTGCAGCAGAACTGTAGAAGCTTTAGTCGATTTTGATTTGTGAAATCAGAAAAAATGTTGAAACACAGTGTATCGCAAAAACAGAGTAGCTAAAGTTTGAATCCAAACAGCTGATAATTATGAAGGCGTGATTTGCGTTGTAAAATATCTGGAAGAATATTTAGTTCCCCAATTTTAGTGCGCCTAAATAAGGAAGCCTACAGCTACAATGATTCCTTATTTAATGAATTGTCTATATTTTGTAGAAAAACTATTAGCATGGCGGGTAATATGCAAACTATGAACATATTTGGTAATATAGTTTCTTATATGGTATAAGAACGAAAATTTCCCTTCTAGAAATATATTTCAAAGACAAAATCCAAACGCTAGAATCGACTTATTTTCCACATGGGACGAAAACTAAAAACTAACATGATGTTATAAACGTCAATACCACACAAGAGGGGGGGGGGGGGTTGATTTGTGTGGTACCTAATTTTCGCGTTAGAAGAACCTGGTTCTTCTAAGTGTTCTAACTACAACAGTTTGTGGAATAATAAATGCTGAAAGTAAAGTGCACAGAGATTTTTACGTGGAAAACACCTGGCTCAAAAGGTGAAAAAACCACGACCTACTACTCAGTAGGATTTTTCCAAACTCCACTAAAATCACTGAGCCAAAAACTGCATTTACAAAACTCTTTGTAAACCTAAGAATTAACTCTAATCCCAGTGTAGCACACAGTCTCAACTGTTGCGACACTTTCAAGTTAACTCTAACTTGAATACTCAATATACCTATTACAATTGCTTCTATGAAAGCTGAAAGGTACAATATGAAAACCTACTACAATTGAACTAGACTTAGAATAAACACAATGATGAAACTGGTTCTTCTATCTTAGTTCCTGTAGCTTCAGACGTGCACACTTGTATCTCGCATATGTTGCTTGCAAATCAGACTTGATCTTTTTGCTCTCAAATATGCTTAACTTCTGCTTATGTGCAATCACCTGTAAAAGAGAACAATCGTTATATTTATAGAGTTAGTAATCAGAGTTTGATAAGAACTCGAATTGTGGATCATTTGACAATTCGAGTCCAAGAACAACTCTAACTCCTAATCCATATCCTTGATCCGGATATAATTCTCTTTTCATAAGGAGACTTCAACTCCTTATCCTATATGCAATCTTTTCGATCAATTCAGAAGATATTGTTGTTGATCCTTGAGACTTATCTTCTTCACGCGTATGTCACATGTGTAAGCATATCAATACTGTGTCACATGATGGACCTGGTTCATGACTGAGTTCATTTTGTCAATCTTCAAAACTTCATCTGAACTTGGGCCAACAACGCTGTACTGTCACGACCCAATTTCCAACCCGGTCGTGATGGCGCCTCTCGTGAAGACAAGGCCAGCCAACTAACCCAAATCGTCTCTTTAACAATTATTAAACATAAATGAATAGATAAATACAGCTTAACGACAATACAAACCAGTATT